GGGACTCACTTGTTTGACTGAGGGTTACTACTGATAATACCACTTCAACCTGCTAGGACAGCAATCTCTGCAGTTTCAAATAGCTGTGACTTCAAGTAGTGCAGGGGAATTGCAGAAACCAACAGGAAAGTAACTTGAAGGGGGGAAATATCCCACTTTTTAATTTTTCCTTTTGCAAAATAAACTAAAACTAGAAAATAAAAGATCTGTGTACCTTTACTTAACCGAGTACATGTGTAGCCATAAAGTATACAGGGCTCTCCACAATTCTCTAGGCATTCATGAAATGCTCAATCCTCTACCAACCTAGAGTGACCTGCAGCATCTACCAAGAGCAAAGCAGTGCTATCTATGTAAGTGGCCACTAGAATGAAAGAGGAAAAAGGACAGGCAAATGGAGTTACAGCAAAGTGTTTTCTGCAGGCCAGGTGAGAGAAAGAGGTGAGATAGGAGATATGGCTGGGAGGCGAGTAGTTGCGGAAAAGAGACCCATATTAAATTATATATAAAAAAAAAATCTTACTTTTAAAAAAAGTATGACTATTATTGGGCTGTGGTTTAACAAAAAGTTTGTTGTGTGATGATTTAGGGAACTTATCTGTTCAATTTATGAATTGCGTGAGATTATGAACTCTCTGAATGTATCTTTACCAAGTTACAAATTGAATGTGTAGCCTTTGGGCCTTCTTTAATGGCTGTTTCCCTCCATATTGGCCTGAAATTCCAACAGGGTAGTGGTACAAGACAGACAATAGCAGGTTGTTAAATCTGGATTGCTCTCTCATTGAAATGGGACAGATCTGAACAATCGACTGACTCCCATCCTGAACTGGTTTATCAGAGAAGTCACCTGGCAACAAAGTCACCTACTGGAGGTCTCTGATCCCCTGGGAAAGCTGATCCAGCAATCTCTGGAAGATTACAGGACTGGAGCTGCTCTATTTGGGTCTTCCCTGGCTGTTTTTCTCCAGTTCAAGATGAGGGAGAACAATCCAGCACCTAAAAGCCAGATGAGGCACCTGAATACAGATGGTCCCCCCACCAGGGAAGCGTGAGCTAGTGAAGGGCATGTATTAGGATGTTTATTGCTTTCTAAACGATCTGTAGTCTTCTGTTTTATCTGTTAAGTAAAAGAGCAATGATGTTCGCAGCTGATGCAAAGCATTTTTGTGCTATATGTTGCAACTACCACATGCCTTCTGAGAGAGTTCACCTTCAGTGGGATTCCAAAAGAGGGTATGTGTAAGACATGGGAGAGTCTGAAGGGCCAACACTTAGCCCAGAGACTAGGCAGCAGGACAGTGGGTTCCAGACTTCAGGAAAGGGTGCTAGACAATGTCTATACCCCTAGATTGTGCCCATTGATCCCCAGTGTGGGGCAGTGGGTGTGCTCCATTCAGGCTCCAAAAGCCTAAAACACCTGTGGACCCAGTGGCTGTGTTCCCTCACAGCAGCTTAGTGAGTGGCCAATTGGGCCTGTAATAGTGGGGTACTGCAGAGCTGTCAGTTTCCTACCACTGAATTCAACAATGCCAGAATCAAAATTGGACCTCATGCGTATGGTTCCTGTGTGGCTGAAGGATGGTATGGACCCTGACAACTCCTTTGTTTCTTCTTCCATACTGCTCCCATGCAGCAGCGTATGGGGATAAAGATTCTTTCTGAAAACGACCACAAGCTTGCCTCAGGCCCCCACTCTATATATTGTTTTAACCCACCCCACCGGGTTCATAAATCTTCCCATTCACCACAATTATGTCCTCCCCCCTCTTGCTTCCAGATCTCCAACTTTTCCTCCCTCTCAGCACAAACCTCTCTTAATGCTTCACTCTCCCCTCCCTTTCCCCTAAAGCCCTCATTTTTCCTCACTCATCTGTCCCCACCTTACTATCTCACCCTATACCCTTCATGCTCTCTCCAAATCCCCCACTCCCTCTCCCCCCAGTGCCCTCATTCTCTCCTCCTCCATCTGTCTTCCCTTTCAAGTCCATTCCCTTTTCCTTTCTTGAAAACAGTGCAGTGGGTCCCACCGTTTATTCCCCCAGACTTTTCTTCTTCTGCAAATATCTGCCTTCTGTTTGTTACAGCAAGGACTTTGTTGCTCCCTGGCACTGTCTCACCTAATGTCTCTCTGGACCTTACATCACTACCTCCACAAGATACTCATGTTGCTCTGTCACCCCAATATCCTCCCCTCTCCCCCTCAATATATCTAGTCTTCCTCATAGACTCATAGACTTTAAGGTCAGAAGGGACCAATATGGTCATCTAGTCTGACCTCCCGCATCATGCAGGCCACCAAAGCTGACCCCCCCCCACTTTCCCTTAACTCTGCTGTTGAAGTCTCCAGATCGTGATCTAAAGACTTCAAGTTGCAGAGACTCTTCCAGCTTGCGACCCCTGCCCTATGCTGCGGAGGAAGGCGAAAAACCTCCAGGGCCTCTGCCAATCTACCCTGGAGGAAAATTCCTTCCCGACCCCAAATATGGCGATCAGTAGAACCCCGAGCATACAGGCAAGATTCTCTAGCCAGACCCTCATTTTACCAGCGATGGCCGTTATTGCCTAATTGACTAAAATCACGTTATCCCACCAAACCATTCCTCTGTCTCTCAGTTCCGCTTCACATCCCTCTAGTTTCCCTGTTCATTGCCTTCATGCTCGAGTTCCTCTACCTTCTTTGCTTCCACGGCTCCCCTCCCCCCAAGTCCATTCACTGCTTCTGACCTGAACACCCAACCCCCAATGCTTACACTGCTGTTTTTAGCCACAGGGCTGTCTCCCCAGACTGGGAGGCTTGCTCCCTGCTACAGTGTACACATACCTTCTCTGCGTCTCCCTAGATTGTGTACTCTTCAGGGCAGGGATCACTCCTCCTTGTTTGTCTGGAAAACACTTAGTACATCATGGGTGCTACCATCAGCAAACAATAAATACTACAATACAAACATACATTATATAAGTACTGTTCACTCAGGTATTTCAATGCAGTGAAGAAACTATGTTTTATTGTTTAAAGAGCTTTGCAGTTCATTTATTAGGATTTTAAAATCCAGTAATTCCTCCAATAAAAAAGTTTGCCATGACAATGTAGTTCAACAAGGTAGTTCCACCAGAATTAAATTCTGTAATTATTTCTAGGTCTATAGCACAGAATAAAAACAGCATTTTAAAGAAGTCAAACAAAAAGTGAATTATAACCATCCCATTTTTAAACAATTTAGAATATTTCTCACAATATACATTACAATAAACTAATTTAAATAACATTAATACAAAACTATCAAAAGTCAGGGAACTTAAAGTGATAGTCATCTTTACTTCACATAAGTAGAAGACATAACAGGTTTATGATCCTTTCCAATCTGTCAACTAGGTAGTCATAATTTTAAGAAAAAGCTCAAGTAAAAATTTTCAAATGAGGGTGCCTAAAGTTAGGCATCTAAATCCATATCTGGCTTTATTTTTGGACTTGCAAACACCCTGTTTTTCCATGGAGATGAGGATGCTCAGCGGCTCTTTGCAAGTCAGGCCAACTTTTTAAGTGTCTAATGCCCCAATTCTGTAAAAACTTATGCGCAAATGTAACTTTATGAATTTGAGTAGTCCCATTAAATTCAGAGAGACTGCTCATATGCATAAAATCACACACATAAATGTTTGCAGGGTAAGGATATACGCTGACTTAGGAGTCTAATTTGGGAGTCTAATATGGATTCAGGTGTCTAATTTTAGGTCTCCAAATTTGAAATTTTTGGTTATAGTATTTACACAATTAACCAGAATGATTCATGCAATTATGTATTTAGGATGTCCACCATGATTTTTAAATTTTAGAAACATTTGCTGTGCATAAATTGTAGCCAATTTTCAAAATATATCTGTACAATTTAATATATTTTTTCAAATTACTAATTAGACTAATCACTTGCCAAACTTCATGTTTTAAGCTTTGAGTTAAACAAATATAAGAAAGCATTCAGCCAGTAATTTATTTCTCTATAGGCCATATTCTGCCACAGCTTTTAAACAGAAATCCTTATTAACAACAATGGTTATTTCTGCTTAGAAGTTGATGGCACACTCTGGCCCTATATTTTTAAAAGTTTACATAAACTTTCAAATAGTCCAAATAAATTTTAAAAAAGTCTAAGAAGCAACACAATCTTACACACCCCAAGTTTTGATCAGGGGTAAATATTTACAACCCAAACACTTGAAAACGGATTATTATAATGGGAACAATGACACAACCTTAAAGTACATAATAAATGTCAATGCCATGACAGTACTTTTAATATTAATACTAGAAGCCTCTCCAGTTGCCAACTAAAAGTACATTTTTCAACAGAAAACTAGCTTCATTCTAGCTTATCCTCATTAATATAGATCCGTGCAGCATCATGCTAAATGTGTTTGCTTATACCAGCGGTAATCAAACTGTGGGTCAGGACCCCAAGGTGGTCACAACCCTGTTTTAATGGGGTCACCAGGGCTGGGATTAGACTTGCTGGGGCTCGGGGCCAAAGCCAAAGCCTGAGCCCCCCTGGCCAGAGTCAAAGCCCAAGTCCCACCACCAGTGGCGACTCCAGGCACCAACGCTCCAAGCACATGCCTGGGGCGGCAAGCCACAGGGGGCGCCCTGCCGGTCCCTGCGAGGGCGGCAGTCAGGCAGCCTTTGGCGGCATGCCTGCGGGAGGTCCCCGGTCCCGCAGATTTGGCGGCAATTCGGAGGCGGGTATGTCGAATCCACGGGACTGGTGGACCTCCCGCAGGCATGCTGCCGAAAGCCGCCTGCCTGCCGTGCTTGGGGCGACAAAAAAGCTAGAGCCACCCCTGAACACCACCTGGGGTCAAAGCCCAAGCCCTGGGTGGCGGGGCTCAGGTTACAGGCCCTCCCCGCCTGGGGCAGAAGCCCTTGGGCTTCAGTTTTGGCCTCAGCAGGCTTTGGAATTGGCCCCTCCACCCAGGGCAGCTTGGGTGGGCTCAGGCTTCAGTCCCCCCTCCTGGGGTCGTGTTGTAATTTTTGTTGTCAGAAGAGGGTCATGGTGCAATGAAGTTTGAGAACCCCTAGCTTACATCATTGATTTAGATAGATACCAAGGGCAAAAGAAGTAGGTTGCAGTTCTCTTGCTACACTGTGGTAGTGCCCAATCATGCAAATACTTCTCGAAGAGCGTAACAGTACATGCAAGTAGTTCCTCTGATGTGCGTAAAGTTAAGCATGTGTCAAAATGTTTGAAGGATTAGGGCCCAAATCATTACAATAATTATTATTCTTGATGTACAGCTTGTGGCAACTAGAGAAATCCTAAAAATGGCAAAGACACATAATCAATTAAGTAGTTGTGTCTGTGAGAAGGAAATTATTTTGATTCAATGAACCCTTTGTGCATTGTGATTTGAAACATATACCCAATTTGTGAGGGCTAAAAAAGACAAGATAAGCCACTGATCTGTTTTCATCTCCCTTCTTCACTGTTCATTTATTGTCAATTAAAGAAAGCTCTGGTTTATATGATATCCCATGATTTTCCTTTTTTAAAAGCTCCATTTTTTTCCTAATACAAAACACTTGTCAAACAATCAGCCTACATTTCATTGTATCTGGTCAGATGTTTTCAAGTGGCAACAGTCCTCACTTTCAGGGTAGAAGTCAGATAAAATCCTTCCTGTTCCACCTTTCATTAAAAAACATTAAGGCCATTTAATATCTGTGCCACCTTAATTACCCCTACTAAATTGAACAATTGTTTTGAAATCCTTCAACTGGAATGGTAAGCAGTTGTCTCCTATTTTTCTTCTGAATCTACTGGGAACAATATGTCCATCTGAATGATTAGTCTCCAACATCCCCATCTCTATCACCAATGAGCCACAGAAAGTGAAAACTCATAGCTAATAAGGCAGTTCCAAGCAGATCTCCCAACGCAGTAAGGTAAGGGATAGAAAAACTGTCAGGATCTTTTCCTTTTTTCCAGAAGTGGTGCACCATCCAGTCAGCAATCCATAACAAAGTAAACACCTATGGCAGAACATTAAACAAAAGATAATCCAAAATCAGTGGGAGTGGAATTAGAGCACGTTTGAAAATACCACCCTAAATGTTACCATTGATCTATTTCACTGCTGATTATTTTAGCTGAAACATTAAGCTAACAGGCCTGATTTCTAAGATGTACTGAGCATCTGGGATGCCCACTGAACTTCAGCAGGAGGTGGTGGATGCTCAGCAACTCTGAAAGTCATACTGTGTGTGTATTGGTGGGTGTAATTGTAGACACTGGGTGAACTGGGGCAGTTAGTGCCTTGGTGGTGTGGGGAATGAGGAATTCAAACCCTTCTCCCCACAAACTCAAAATCACTTTCACCCTTGCCTAAAAGGTGGAATATCAGAATTGTAGAAACCAGAAACTGGAAGGGGCCTCGAGAGGTCATCTAGTCCAGTCCCCTGTGCTCATAAGTATTATCTAGACCATCCCTGACAGGTGTTTATCTAACCTGCTCTTAAAAATCTCCAATGACGGAGATTCCACAGCTCCCTAGGCAATTTATTCCAGTGCTTAACTAACTTGACAGGAAGTTTTTCCTAATGTCCAACCTAAACCATCCTTGCTGCAATTTAAGCCCACTGCTTTTTGTCCTAGCCTCGGAGGTTAATGAGAACAATTTACTTCCCTCCTCTTTGTAACAACCTTTTATGTACTTGAAAACTGTTATGTCCCCTCTCAGTCTTCTCTTCTCCAGACTAAACAAACCCAATTTTTTTCTATCTTCCCTCATAGGTCATGTTTTCTAGACCTTTAATCATTTTTTGTTGCTCTTCTCTGGACTTTCTCCAATTTGTCCACATCTTTCCTGAAATGCACCCAGAACTGGACACAATACTCCAGCTGAGGCCTAATCAGCACGGAGTACAGCGGAAGAATTACTTCCCATGTATTGCTTACAACACCCTTGCTAATACATCCCAGAATTATATTTGCTTTTTTTTGCAACAGGGTTACACTGTTAATTTGTATTTAGCTTGTGATCTATATGACCCCAGATCCCTGTCCACAGTACTACTTCCTAGGCAGTCATTTCCCATTTTGAATGTGTGCAACTGATTGTTCCTTCCTAAATGGAGTACTTTGCATTTGTCCTTATTGAATTTCAGCTCATTTACTTCAGACCATTTCTCCAGTTTGTCCAGATCATTTTGAATTTTAATCCTATTCTCCAAAGCACTTGCAACTCCCATTAACTTGGTATCCTCTGCCAACTTTATAAGTGTACTCTCTATGCCATTATCTAAATCATTGATGAAGATACTGAATAGAACGGGCCCCTGAACTGATCCCTGTGGGACCCCACTTGATGTGCCCTTTAGAAGGAAAGATAAGATGCATCCTCTCCCCAGTACGTAAAGTCTCAACTACCTCCTAGTTTCCAATAACCAAAGCTGTCTCCCTGGTGTCCACACCACTAGTGCTCTTTCCCAATACTTTGTCCTACAGTGCAATTATATTTTCAATACAAAAATATAAGAAACAATGAAATTTTGAGGGTTAATATCAAAATAACCAAATGCCACAAGGCATAATTTGATTGAAATTGGGAGAGTAAGTGGGGAGATTGGCTTTAGGGGAGCAGTGCTGAATAAACCAAAGTTTAGTGTGATGCACAGGAGCACTTGTTAGATCACATCTTTCTAACAATTGGAAAGATGTGATCTAACATTTCACTCAGACAATAGGAACCAATGTAAATGGCCTAGAAACCATGAAGTATCAATTTCAACCCAGGCCCAATTCCCATGGGCATTGTGAGATCTGCACTTTTACACCAGGTCTGAATTTGGTTCAAAGTGCTGTGTTAAAGACTTTATTCCCAGCTGTGACTGTCTCAACACCTAAGAAATATAAATGTAATGCTGAAGGTACGTGTGACTAGTAATCCAGTACTAGACTAGTAGGGATTCATTTTTGAATATTCCACAGCTGCATAAGAATTTCTGGCTCATTTCAATCATGTGGCATGGCATGAGTGGGGGGGAAAAGCATACTAATTGAGTCTCCATCTCTTCTTGTCTCTTTGGATGGGACTGCCTAGGCTGAAATAAATGGTCAGACACCACAATGTCTTTTTAGCTAATCAGGTCTTCAGGAATTAAGATTTATAACATGAGGTCTGAACTAAGGACAGTTCTTATCTTACTAACATACAGAAGAAGATTTACTATATACATTAAAGAAAATATATGTATCGGTAATACAAAAATGGTAAAAGTAGAACATTTAAAACTAAATGCATACATTATCTTTCCAAATGCTATCAGTTGCTAGAACATTTTCAGTGCTCATAAGATTTTTTTAAATGATCTCTAGATTAAAGTCAAGTTTGGAAAATATCATGTTAAATATACTAAAATGATTAAATACATTACAAAACTTCCTCTCAGCACTTCGTTTTTTAAAAATTAAAAAATTCATGCTTTACACTACAAAAGCATATTTTAAATCTAAACTTGTGGATTTTTAAAGAAATTACCAAACACTCTCCCTATTTTCTCTTTATGAAATATGCATAACTTATTTAGATAAACACATCTTCTCAATAGGCAACTCTGTAGTTTAAGCTAATTATGCATGTGCTAGGTGTGCTTACTGGAATCCAAACAAATATATTTAAAAGCAGATGTTTTCTTTGGAAGATTATGTCAGATTCTTTCAGTCAGCTCCTTCTTCCAACACAGACAAAAAAGGTCTGTATATAGAGATACTGTACATAAACATTCCCTTGCAGGCCCTACATAGCAGAATCCATAACTTAAATAGACAATAGTTATACAGGTTTATCAATCTAATGATGCGGGAACTCTTTTTAAGAACAATATTATTACTTACTCCAAAAAGAGACACATGATTAATTAGAAATACTGTACACAGTAAAATGTAGTGCAGAATGTGACATTTTTAAAATTAAAGACTTAAAACTCCAAATTGTGCCTATATATTTCCATTTCTAAAATATCTGGCTGACGTAGGTTTGGGAGAAAAGTAGTCCTTGAATTCTACAAGACTTAAAGGGAGGATAAATTAACCACCGTGTTTCAGAAAGGTCAAAGCCATAACTGAGTAGCTGCATACATAAAAGGACTGACCTCAGAACTGAGAGACTCTACAGTCATTGATCAGGGAAAAGATAGGATAATACTTGGAAAGAAGCAGACTGGTTAAAGAATGAAATATTGACATTTTAAAAGGAAGGTCAGGCTGAATTAATCGGATTAATTTCTTGATGTGACTGACAAAAGAAATTGACAGAAGTGAAACAGATGACATAATCAACCTGGACTGCAAGAAGGCTTTTGTATTTAGTGTCACAAAAAGCAGTATGTAAAGTTAGCAAGTATGATGGTGTTGGTAAAACTCAGTTTGATAAAAACATATTGGCAGCTGAGGTCAGAGAACAGTGGAAAACAGTATAATGGAAGTGGCAAAAAGAGACTGTTGAGAAGACAAATCTTGTTCAGCCTACACACTGTACTAATGATGCAAAGTCATGAAGTAAATAGTACATATGTGTATATAACATAAAACTGGAAGAGATAGTCATTAACCAAAGAGGAAATGAGGGCTTTTTGAGAACAAAGTTTGTGGCAGCCATCTCAGATTCATATTAAAACTATATGCCTATATTTTCAAAACTAGGTGCCTAATGTTTGAAGTTCAATATCTCATGACTCTGCAGGGCTAGAAATGGGAGGATTATACCACAGAAAAAGAAATATTACTTATTTTTTAATGGGACTTAGAATTTGCTTCTCATCTTTGTAGGGCTAGGGATAAACTTTCAATTTCTGATTTTAGATTAAAAAAGCTAATTTTTGGTCATTTTTAGATATCTTTACTACCTCTGAGCCCTCTGCAGTTGGACTCATGGTTATTAAGGCACCTGCCTTCACAAGCAGAAAGAAACAAAAAATATTTCCAATAAAAAACGACATTTAAAAAATCTCTTAAACATTACTAAAATAGATTTCCTGTTTTATGCGGTGTAGAAAGAATACATTATGGTATATTGTGGTATACTATAACGGTTTTATTGGTACAGTATATTAATTTAGGATTTCCTGCATGACTGACTTATGGTTTCACCATTATGATGCATGCCAAATACATGATGATAAAACCCAGATTAATTCATGCTGATAAAAGTTTTATAACCACATAATATTATAAGCACATCCATTATCTTTTTATTTATATGTAAATAAGAGGTTTTAAATATCTTTCATGAAGATATATGTAGCTTGTGTAATCAGAGTGCCAACACTGAACTACAGAAATGGGTAAAATTTAGCTACATAGTTCTAATGTTCTATCATTTCAATATCCAGGTCACTTCAACATTCAGCCATAAGTTTGGGTCTGGAGCCAATACCACTCAGTGGTTTTACCAATGCTGAAGAGTCTTTTATGGGGAAGGTGTATTGGCAGCATTTCTTGTGGCTTGCTGTTAGTACTAAATTCACTGCTGTTACGCCTCATGCTTTTACCCTTGTTTCAATGTGATAATGTATTATGAAATACAGTTTTATTTTCCCATTACTAATTCATTTAGCTATCGCTAGGAAACAGGACAGAGGTTGTTTACATGTGTATATTTTTCATGGGTGAAGCACTGGATAATATGTTCATTTCTAGTATTCTGTTTCTGAGAGAAAGGTAGAATGAAGGTTGTGAGTATGTATCATATTGGCTAAAATCCATTAGATGGATGTAGTAATTATCCCCAAACCAACTATTATAAACCAGAAACTTCAGAGTTAAGTTTACAGTTAAGAACTCCAAACATGTTAATATAAGAAATGCACAATTAAGGCACCAAAACAACCACAACTCTGATCTGTAAGTGATGTCATGCAATAACCACAGGATTATGATTATAGCATTTTAGTTGTCTGTGGTCCCAGATGAGATTAAAATTATTTTTAATTCCATATTAGGTTTCTCAGATTTTTCCCCGCTCATGGCATCC